GTTCAAAAATATCCTTTGACATGTCCAATGTTAAAATATTTTGCTTCATTCTGTATTAGTAAATCAAATGTAAGTGTTCTTCTCCTTCACTTGTAATCTTTAGTTCCTTCTAGTTCCCTCTAGTGTCCAACCTTCAAAGTCTCATCCTATCTTTTTTTTTTTATTAAAAAAAAAAAAAAGCATTTTCCCACAGGAAGGATTCTTACTATTAATTCCAAACTCTTATCTCAAATACATCTGGACCTTCAGTCCATTTGTAATTTTCTAAAATCAAAATTCTAATCACCCTTTTGCTGTTTATTCCAAAAGGAAAAAAATTAAGTCCTTAAACTTATTTTTAAAACGTCTTTCGCTAAGGACTGAAGAAAACTCACCAGTGTTTTCAGACTGATTGATCCAAAGGTTCCTAATAGCTGGAAAGTAATTAACAAGCTATTTCCAAAAGCGATTAGAAAAGGAAGTATGTAAGTCCAGTGTCCTTTTGAAGGCACCGACTGCAGTTTGAGCAAAAAGATGGCTATTCCCTTTTCTGCCAGAGCTGTAAACCTGCCAGAGACCACTGTCTTGCAGGCTTCTTGCAAGGAGCAACTGCATGGAGCACTTGTGGGCAATCTCAAGTCCTCTCCTTGTCAGAAGAGGAATTATGAAGAGCCGGTCTACTTGCCGACTCTTCATTTTATCGCAGTTGTCCACTCTTCTTTTAGCGGAGCGGTCTTCAGTTCACCATTTCTTCCCCAGAAGTCCCAAAATCTGGAGCTGAATTAAGCCAATTAAGTCATTGACTACAGAAAATAACTTATTTCTTGCTAGGGTAATTTTGATCAGCTTGGTAGTAAATCAGATCTTACTGAAGAAAGAATGGAAGGTAAAATCCTATCACCATGAAGCCAAATCCCGCTACACTCCATTTTGGTTCTGGGTTGGGAATCAGGAGCAGTAGCTGATAATATTTAGGAAACTGGATCAAACCCAAGACCTCAAGTTGCTATATACATGTTAGAAAACAGAATGCATCTAATACAGCTTTAATAAAATTAGAGCCACAATTTCATCTTTAATTTAAATAAAATACTAACCTGTTCCAGTGTCTGTATTTTGCTGTCTTTAACTTGCAAAATCTCTAAAACCTTCCTGTCCTTGAGTTCAGCCTTCTGCTTTTCTCTAAAAACAAAAATATATTGACACTTATTAGTCATAATTTGCTGCTAATCATTTGAATTTTTCATGTCCCAATAATGAATGTCATTTTAGAGCATGGGAAATTAAATTATCTGAGGCTGACAGCCTTGCAAAATTAATCATGGAACATATGGCAAGTGACAGCAAATTTTATCTGCAGACAATGAAGACAACTTTATTCTAAATCATGCAGTGTTTATGAAAGCAAAAGTAGATATGCTTACTTAAAAACAAAACAATATATATGGGAAATCTTCAACATGAAGTATTTCTGTGGAATTCTTCCCTCCCTGCCTCTACATTATTGATGTCAAAGAAACCCCAGCTTCATGTTGGCAATATAGTAAAAGTAGCATATTGAGGAACATCACTATTTTCCCTTTAGTATACTCAAAAGGTATATTGTATTAAAACCATCAACAACTGGTAAGAACTGGGGAGAGAGATTCTGTTCCCTAATGATTTGTATCCTGTATCTCCTCAATCAAGTTCCAGATGTGGCAAAAATAAAAACCAGTATGTCATAACTTCAACTAAAAAAATAATGTGGCAACAGAAAGGAAAAACAAATAGTGCCAATTACTCAGCAACATTTGTCAGGTTTGCTACTTTATTTATATTGTTCTTGAATAAATCTGTTCATGCCATTCCTGAACAAATCAGGCAATTAAGTACAATTAACAGTATACAATTGTATACTGTTGGATTTTTGTTTCAATTTTGATCTTGTTTACATACAACATCTGGGATATAATGTTTTCCAAATACATTTACTGGTGTTTCACCAACTTCCCCTGCCCGACTAATTATGAGAAAAGCATCACTTCTCACCTAGAAATAGCCTGTGATAACCAGGAGGCCTTGTGAAAATTGGTATTGGTTAAGAATAGTGGCGTATTTCATTTGAAGAGAACTGGAAAACTAAGTTCTTTATACTGAGATTGCACAAATTCTTCCCAATCAAGCAAGAATTGCAAAATTATAACTGAAAGTATACGAACCCAAAACAGCTTGTTTGCTGAGACTCAGGCACACCATGTTGTAAAACACAGGAAATCAATCTGTGATTTTCTAGATGTTACTGAAGAACAATGTCAAGTATGTCTCTTTATTGGCCACACTGACTGGAATTCCTGAGAATTAAATTAGGGACTTCTGAAGGATTATAGGTTGCTTAATTTTGCTGAAAAAATTGGCCTCACATGTACTGAAATATTACATTTATTTAACACACATCCTGTGTGTGTGCATGTATGTATGTATGTGTGTGTTGTGTGTGTGTATTTTCAATTACAGAACTACTATATAGTTCTTTTACTTCAATAAGAAAGTTAATGAATACTTTAATACAGTAATGCCTTTTCTGGAATGCTTTGGGATTTTGTTTCATTTGTTGTTGTTTAAAAAAAGAACAAAGTTGGGAAAAGAATATACCTCAGAGTCATAATAAAGCATGGGTTATAAAAGGAGTCTCTAAATATTTTGAATCAGTGGAACATTTGAAACTCTGAGAACATTTTTTGATATTCTTACAAAATGACTCCTAGGGTGGACTGCCGGCTGATAAAATGGCTGCTACATGTGATATTATTAGTTGCAATGAACTAAATATTGTGCATGTGTGTGCAAAGGGGGGAAGGAGCATCCCTTTTTTTGAACTTTCTTTTACCTTCTCAAATATATCCATGAATATACCCACAATTATTTCAAACTTCTGCTACAAACATAAGTATAAATAATTGAAATAATTAAACCCACATCTTAGGCTGAGTTCATATGACCATTTAAGTAAGTTGTTTAAAGACACAGTATATGGGGTAACCTAGTAATTTGATTATTTCTGGACTTGGATCATGGCTGAATTAACTTCAAAGTACTCAAAGCTAGTGATTTATCTTAACCAGGGCTCTATCCTTGCTACTAGTCTCTGGAAACAAAGGATGCAGAGACAGAAGCCTGGAGTATTACTACCAAAAAAAAAAAAAAGCTGTTCCAGGCACTCAATCTCTGGTTCCCCCACCCCCAACCTTTTCAACCCCAATTTTGCCCTTACACCCATGATGCAGGGAGGTGAAACAGAAAAAGGGAAGAGGGTGGAAGAAGTTTTCTCTGCTTCTCTTTCTCAATCAAATATTGAGATCATCTCTGATAAAAGATGGATGTTGTGGCAAAAAACCACAGGTAAATCTGCTGTAGGAACATTTCATTCTTTTAAAATCCATTTGATTGGCACCTCACCCCATTTGTAGCAGTGAATTCCTTAACAGACAAGTCAATGTTAGTACTTCTAAGAGAACCCTGTTCAAGTGAGGGAAAAGAGATATTTGCTGGCATGCCTCTTGCCCATATTTCTACATCTTTGCAATGCTGGAATTTCCAGTGTGAGGTAAACCGAACACAGATTAAAGCTGGATAAAAGACTGCAGACTGTGTTAATAGCCTAAGTAATAACAACATTAAATAATATAATAAACAGACTTAAATCTTCTAACAGAGGTATCTATAGCATGTTTTTCAAACTTCCCTGATCTGATTACATAATTAGAATTTTAAGAATATAACTTCTTATTTAAGTTCTGTTTAACAAAAGGAGATTTGTTTTGCTTTGGATGAACTCAACATAATTTTTCTTTTGTTTTGCAAGTTACAAATGTAAAACAAATCCTAACTGCAGACAGAAAATGGAATCAGTTAACACTGTAACATATAATGGCCATCTAAATCTTACCACCATTTTTGCATATAGTGGATGTGAACAAAAGCCTTTTGCATAAATTAAAACCTGGTATAGAATTTTATCAGCAGCTCCTCCTGGTGGCATAGGATAACTTCCAACACTCATTACAGGGAGGTTCCCAGAAGGGATGCGAAGTAATATTGCTCTGTGCTTCAAGCTTCTAATGTATCATTGAACCCACAGCTACATTTTAAGTATGATAAACAGAAAAAAAGGGGGGAAAGCAGATTTAAGGCTTGCTTATAAAGGTAAATGGCACAGTTGGAAAATTATGGTTGATTCAATTAATATACACCATGCATGCCTATCATACATTAAAAAGTGTTCACCCAAATCAGAAAAAATATATGCAGGCACTGTCAAAGAGTTGATGATGATCAATGACTGAGACAAACTCCAGTTTAGCTAATTAGAACCACTGATGAGCAATAATGATGTGCGCTAAGAATATTTGCAGACTTCTTTAGGATGAAAAATGGAGTGAAGAGAGGTTGTCAATTTATACAAGTTTAAGCTCCAATCACTTTTCCCATGAGTACCACCTATTTTAAATGTTTAACAGAGCTGTATTTAACCCATGGATTTTTCACAGTCAGTTTTCACCAGCTACTAAAACCTTAAAAAAAAAAAAAATCCAAGAAATTATTCTAAACCATTAACTACCCATTTTCTATTGCATATGGCCCACGCTATATATTATACAACATGACAGAATCATATTTTCTGGGATTTGGCCCATTTTTAATGAGTTGTCAAAAATGAAATATTGGAGACGATGAGGAAGCATTTAACTATGAATGAGGTGAGAAAACAGAACCTGACGTTTCTAAAACACCACAAATATTTTCAAAGGTGCATTGCACTGCTAAAATATTATCTTTCCTGTAATAAATATGCAAAGCAACAGTGTTGAAGAGAAATTATGGACATAAGCACAAATAAAGGTCTGTAGTGGAAATTAATTAGATTTCTTTTAACACAAAGCAACATGAAACAAGAAAAAAAATTGCATTATATCAGCTTCAGATAGCCACAATTGAACTGCTAAAAGATAGTGATGACAATCCAATGAGGCACCATGTGTAGACATATCTTCTGCTTTTCATCAAAATCCTCCTCTGAGAAAAGAAGTTGCAACTTAAACTGGTATACAATTTAAAAGATTTAATTCTAAAGAAATGAGCTTATATTTTTTCTGAAACACAGAGTATCTGATCCTGAACAGTTCCTAAATATAGATTGGCTAAGCCTGTAGAGGCCAAGAAGCTACCACAGGCCAAGCCAGATCAGTGCTCCATCTTTCTTATTTCTGATGACAATGGGAAGATAATTTCCAGACAATGTTTCCCAGCTCTATCTGGAGATGAGAAACACTGAACCTGATTCTTCTGTATTCAAAGCTTGTATTTTACACTGACTGTTGTAACAGAGGAAACACCACTTGTACAATTTAATTTGTTTGAGAATATAAGAGAATCAAATCTAGGAAATCCCCCCAAAAGGCATTTGGTCACAGGTCAACAAAGGAGGAGGAGTTTGGGAAGAAGAAATCAAAAGCAGGATCTAATGCTTTCATCAAAAGGACGCTTTCATACCTGCCTGCAACAGCACCCCACATGTACAAGAGCGAAGTGGGGGCTTGTATAGAAGGAAAACTCAAGCTAGAGTCACTAGTTATTCAAATGGATAGCTCAGTTCTTTTTTGTGTATGGTTTTCATAGATCTATTAAGCAAGTAAATGATGTAAAGGCTTATAAAACAATGAATTTCAGACAAATGTTAATTATTTCTGTTTCTATCTCGGGGGGAAATAGGCTCTTATAAAACTTCAAGCAGTCTGGGATTGATATTTTGTATGTATTCTCTTAGAAGAAGCAGGGGTAAAATGCAGAAGCCTATAAACTATTAGAGAGTGAAATATCCTCTTGTGTGGAACACAGGTTATTTAAATATATACATATTCTCTTGAAAAAAAACTTGTTTTTTCTACACATGCAAACAGATCTGTGCACTCACAACATTTTAGGACAGCATTTTTCTTTCACTTCAGTGAGATTAATTAGAAACTTTAAATTTATTAATTTAATAGAGATGCACATCTATATTCACAAAAGCAAGAGCTTTTAACTATCCCTCTCTCAAGCACAAGATCCAGACAAACATCAGACTAGTTCATAATGGTGAATTGGTATGCTACCTTAGTGTGGCATGTGAACCCAGCCATTGTAGTTTGCAAATCATAATT